TCAATGAAAATAAGTCTGCAAAAGTTGAACTTTGTAAAACCAATAAAATATTTTTAATAGCACACAATATCTAGTTCTAAACCCTGAAATTATACAACAGACTTTCTCTCACAGATTCCCTTTATCACTGTCAAATTCAGGGAGAGAGACTTCCTTACAAAATAAATACAAATAGTAAGTATGAACATTGTGTCTTGTTTCAACTTTTAAAATATTTCCCCAAAAAGCAAAGAGTTACTGGACAGCCAAAGAACAGGTAGAGGATCATGCTTTTATATTACTTTCACATATATCTTTGTGATAATGTTGTGCAACATGCATTTAACACATAAGGTTTGGGACTCTTTTGCTTTGCATTCTGATTTATTTTAGATCATCTACCTACCAGGCAGGAAAAAGCAGCCAAAGGTAATTTAACTGCCTGCATGAAAACCCAGAAGAATCTCACTGGGTGTTTACTGAACCACTCTACTTGCTGCTACATCCAGAGCTGGGTCTACGCCATGAACCTGGGATCCTGTGCCAGCCATTCCCCTGTGTTGGGACCGTCATGCCAGAGCTTGCTGCTGGCCCATTCTAAACACAGTAAAAAGCTGTACAAGTACACACACACCCACCTCTATCCATCACTGGAGATACCAGCATCCCTCTGAGGCCCATGACGCACAGCTCCACACCTCTGTGCATGTGCACGTTGCCCCCATAGGTACATCACAGCATTCCTAAATAGTGGGTGGGCTGATGCAGGGAAAGGCCATTAACACCTTCCCTTTAGCTACCCTGCACTCAGGTGGAGAGGAAGGATGATTTCCTCAAGGATAACATTAAAGCCTTCTACTGGAGACCATGAATGATAGCTCTGCCTTGCTGGAACACAGAGCTCATATCTGGCCCTGGAAAAGCTTCCAGCAGAAGGGCTCACCACTGGACATCTCTAATGGGTACAATCACTCCTTAAACTATTTTAAAAGCATTTTAAGATAGCAATTTTTCACCTTTGGTATCTTAAAAAACAGATTTATCCCACTACTAAAAAAACCACAGAACTTAGCAGGTTTAAAAAAAAAAAAAAGCTTTTAAATTTTTTTTTCAAAACTTCTCCAGCTTTTTCTTTGGATTTTTGCAAATGTGTGATATATTCAGTATACATACTTTAAGATAGAACAAATACCTCCCTGGCATTTGTAGAAATGGCCTGTGTAAATCACGGTTACACTAACACCCTCCCAAAAAGTCTTGGTTTTTCTCTCTCATCAATAGCTGTGACTGAGTTCATATCGCTAAGTATGTGTACATACACACATATATATGTGTGTATACACATAGGGAGAAATGAGAGGGACTGACTCCTGGAAATGTATGTTTACATATGTGTACTTTTGTCTTTTTATACATATATGTATGTACATATATAGAGACAAAGAGGTATGTCTAGATCTTTATACAGGCAAACATATAAAATTGTAAATACCTACACACACATACATATATAAAAATAATATTTAAAACATTTTCACTCTTTCAATTACAGAAAGTTAATCTAACTTGACTATGAGCTCTATTTATCTCTGTTATGATGATTAGTTTGATCCTAAAGACTCCCTTGTAATATAAGACACACTTGCCTCTTGGAAAATAATAGGAAGATAATCTATAAATCACAAAGCTGGTGCAGTGTAGACAATATCAATACTGAGTCTGACAGATATTGAACTCAGAGTTAAGGAAATAAAAAGAAATATATTATTCATAGTAAAATTTACATTTAAAATCACAATAAACAAAAAAAAGCAATTATTTTGATTCCAGTAGGACTTTAAAATGTGGAGAAAACCAGTCATATAGAATGTTCCAATAAAAAAAGAACACTGAATATACTCTATGTACAATACAACAAACTTTGCATTGTTTTCCCACTGATGATGTTAAAACCTTCAACTGTTGCTAGGTAATCTTGCCTATGAAATAATTGCCCTCACCAAAATTCTTGTGCAATAATACTTAGTAACAAGAAAAAGCCCAAAATAAGGTTGAAATTTGGATGAGTTATTAATAAGGTTTTCTAGACAATGAGAAAGTAAATCAGAATAGTTTGTTTGAAATATACTCTAACCATTACAAGATCATATCTTCTACACACTAGCCTTGGGGAAAAAAAAAAAGAATTCTGGGACAATGCATGCTTTTGAGGCAAAGGTACTTTATTGTAATAAGTTTACCTTAATTCAGAATGTAGTGTCTACCTACAGTGTTCTTCTGGAATAGCTTCCCATAAATTTTTCTTTGAATAGAAATTTTACATCAAGTAATTTTGTGAAAAATATTATTAAATGGACTCAAGAAGAATTCTGTGTAAGTAACACAAAACACAGTAAAACCAAGCACAGTTGCTTCTTTGATCCAGTCTTCTGCTAACTGGCAGTCTGGCTCTGGTTATCCCAGACATCTGCAATTCTGTTATTCTACATGAAAAAATTGTGATTTTCTCATAAATACTCCTCAGTGGAATAAGTCTAAGTACCTTTTTAAGTAGTTTGCTGATACCTGGCTTCATCTGGTAAATTGGAGCAATGAGCAATCATGGGTATGTTATCAGCTATGTTTTGCCATGCTGTATAGTACCCTGATTCCATAACATTTTAATTTCTCACTTATTGTCTCAGAGTAAGATATCACAACAGGGTAATTCTATTCAGGTTTAAAAAAGGGTGATTTAAGAAAAAAATTGCTTTGTAGGACATTCTTTGATATATTACACTATTTCTCATGCTTTTTAAAATATGTTACAAAGCAGGATATATTTCAATCTTTTTCAAATCCACTAGTACAACTTTTCAGATGAAACCTTTTTCCTATTTCTTCCTTACAGAAGCAGCAAAAGATTCTCATCAATTTTGAAGGTGATGAGTCTTCTTCCAATATTGCTCCTCATTTTATTTTGTCCCCTTTACAATATGATTTCTATACTTAACTATCTTTCTGTGACAATCAAGAGTTTCCAACGATCTTCTCTCCTTATGGCCCATAATTCTATTAGTAAAATAGTATTTCCATGAATTGTTTGTCAATCCATTTTGTCTTAAGGATAGCTGCCATGAATGGACTTTTTCCTCTTTTTGGAACAAGGTGATAAAATTTGGTTGTGTTTATATGCATTTTTCTGCTGAGTTCATTGACACACAGAGTTTATTCTTGGAACCTTATGGCCTGATCGACCTGAACAACCCAGGTGATTTAATCATGATAAGGGAGAGAATAAAATTACCAAAGTTCAAGGTATGAGTTTCATTGCCAACACCAAAAATAGCAGAGTCACCATACTTGTTGCTCCCATGGTTAACATCATGATACTGAAAGAAAGGCAAAGCATGACTTTGGAGACTACAGAAAGGCATGCAATATCTTAATTTTAAAAAATTGTGTGTAATTTAAGCAAAAAGAGATTGAAAATATCTCGTGGATATAAGGTTTCTTATAGCTTCACAACTTCTCCAGACCCCAGGCCACACATAGGTTGCAAATATGGGAACTCAAAACTTGACTGTTGCAGAATCATGCTACCAACTTCCACTGAAGCCTTGACCAAGTCATGTGTTAACTGTCCTGCCTTGCCTTGTCTGTAAAATGGGAACAATTGTGTTCAGTGACCCATTTAACAAGGCCACTGTAAAATGTACTTACTTAATGTCTATGAAGAGAATAAAAACAAAGACTAGAAGGGCTAGGAGAATAGTGGGCTTCATTCAGCATTATTTTATTTGGGTAGCCAGCTGGATGATTCCTGGGCTGCAGTAAGAGGTTGACCCATTTGGCAAAAGCTAAAGTGATTTATATTTGTCTTACACTGAAAATTAATGTCCCCATGGCTTGAGTTTCAGGCTAAGCAGATGGTATTCCATGTCACAAAGCCAGCAAACACCAGCATCACCAGCTCTTCACATTTTTAGATAAGAGCATATACAAAGGCTATTGTAGAAGTGTGAAAGCAAATTGGGGGGAAGGCAATACAAAAAGAAATATTTCAGAAGAGTATCATTTGGAAAGGACCCTATGACATCACATGGAGCATGTTAAAATAGATGGTCTAAATAAGACAACAAATTAACAGACTAAGCACTGTTTTGAAAGCCACAGAGTTCTGAATCCAGTTCTACTTACTAAGTGGGTGGTCTGTGCAAGAAATTTCATGGTTTTGGTTTCACCTTTTCAATCTATAAAAGGAAATTCCAGCTACCTCATGAGACCTGGGCAGTACCACTGGGTAATGCTTGTAAGAAATCTTAAAAGGAAAAGTACATGTTGCATAACTGTTACTGGCTTTATAAACTTAAATCACCAGGCAGCTGTCCGACAGCTAGTCAAGTTCATTTTTAATCTATGACATGTCCCTCTGTCACTGCTTTCATGAAGGAAAAAGGTCACTTTTTCAATTTGTGCACAGTTTTACTTGGATACCTGCTCCAATATACAAGTTAACATATGAGTAATAGAAAATGCCAGTGTAATGACAATGGTTCATTTCTATATTTTGCTCTAGGTAAAACTCTAGTTACATAGAAAACATCTGTCTATGTAGAACTCTATCTGAAGATGCAGTTTTTAAATAATATCTGAGGATCTCGCATGGCAATAATAAACTACAGCTGCGAAAACATCTAGAGCATTTTACAATTACTCTTAAACGAAGACCTTGAAATACTTTAAAAACATGAAGATTATTATTCATGCTCTTGGGGAAACTGAGGCACGCCTAAACTAAGTGACATGGCCAAGGCTGCACAGAGAGTTAGCACAGGGAGTCAGCAGCTCCAGAATTTCATGAATCCTTAACCCCGACTTAGAAGTACCGCTCCTTTCAGCTTACACTTCTCCATCAAACTTTACAAGAGCTAGGTGACGGTTTGCACCGCGCAGTCGTTGCCTTCCCTTCCCCGCTGGCAGGCGGGATGCTCGCCCCAGCTCAGCGCCCCGGCCCCGCCGTCCCCATCCCGCGGGCTCACCTGCTTGTAGGCGTCCAGGAGGAAGCTGTTCCAGACGCAGCGCAGCCCCTCCGAGGTCAGCATCCTCCGCCACTCACCGCGCCCAGACTTGGAGCGGCTCAGAAACAGAACCATGTGCTTCAGGAGAATCACAGAGTCATAGAGCGCGAGAAAGAGGCAATTGGAGAAAAAGACCGGCAAGATCTGAAGCGTGATCAACAAATCCACACTTAGCAGACCCATCTTCCTCGCTGCTTCTCCTCAGCCGGATACCTTCAGCTCTTTATTGCTCTGTACCCTCATTTAAAAGAGTAAAGCAAAAGGCATTTCAAAAGCCTCATTACCCCTTTCACAGCTGCTCTATTTAAAGTAAGCAGAGATAGTTAAGTATGAGCAGGCTGGTTAAAACCATAACTGCAGGATATTCACTCAACTGCAAGCTGCTTATTTTTCAGAAATTTGATGTTAACAAAAATTCTTCTCTTAACCAGGAGACCTGATTTTGCTGAAGAGAGAGGCAGCTGTTTTTCCAGTTCCCTGCAGTTACAAAATTTAAGCTGAGACTGTTAATTGTTAACTTTCCTGCACTATCCCATTGTTTCTCGGATATTTAAGCACTGACCAGACCTCTCATTTCTGAGTCAGCAAAGCTAGCTACTAGGTGCAACAATGCTTAAAAAAAAAAAAAGGTTTATGTACATAAACTTTCTGTTCCTTCCTCCCTGCTTCCCTCCCTCTCTTTCCCTCTCTGCCTCCCCCGTCCCCCCCTCCTACTCCGCGTCTCTGTATTCCTGCCTTCCTCCTCTCGCACTCTCTCTTTGCTATCTGCCTATGGTGCAAAGTGCTCTCCCCTCTGGAGTCCTAGCTTGCTTCCCTGAAGCCTTTTATACATTCCCTAGCTAATTGCTGCAATAGAGAAATGAAACCCTAATCTTAGTAAAGATCTTGACGTCAATGTAAAAGAGGGCTTTACTTTGGCCAGGACTGCAGTGAATAGAAAAAAATGAAATTCTCAAAACTTTTTTTTTTTTCCCCTTAAGAGAGAGGAGAAAAAAAAGCGAGACAGAGAGCAAGGGTGGAACTTTGCTTTTCTTTGAAAAGGAGAAAGAAAAAAATCCAATATGTTTCTGAATGTTCTTACAATATACTTCCAAATTTTAGAAGTATTTTCATGTGACATGGAAGGTGACACAGCAACAGAGATTTCTGTTATCAATAGGTTTTTTCTCCTGGTTGGTGTTTTTGTTTTTTTTTTTTTTTTTGTCCTTCTTTCTTTTATAGGAAGGTCTGGGAGTTGATGTATCCCAAGAAAGAGCATATTTCTGTAACATTTTTCTCCCACCTGCCTGAAGTACAAGAATATTGTTTAAATATCTTTTGTTGTTTTCTTGGTAACATAAGTGAACACCTAGAATTGACTTCATCGACTGATGTGTAAGAGAAGAGATAAGAAAGAGAGAAAATAAGTTTTTTATGGATTTGGGTTTTTGAAGCTAAAGTGCCCTGCCTAAAAAAAATATATGCTTCAGCCTTGAATGCTGTTAAATCAACTGAGCTTCAAGGACTTTAATATTCCTATTTAATATTAGGGTAACTAGCTTTTGGTTAAAGGCTTGTAAAGAAAAAGCAGAAGTTTCCTCTGGCAGTGCCATTGGTACTTTAACTGCAAGGATCCCTTTCAGCCCCATGCTGAAGGTTTTTTGTTCATTTGCACTTCTCTTTGTTTCACCTTTTTAGTCCAATGCTTAGTCCTCTTCTCACACGATTTTTTGAGGAGCTACAGTAGACAATTTTGGGGTTTTTTTAGCATGATTCTAAATCCCTTAGGTACATATTTCACGAATTTCCTGTTGCAGATATCCGTAAGTTTGGGGTTTAGTGGATGTCTTACTATGTGCTTACTAGGCTCTCCTCCCCGGATACATTTCATTCCCAGAGATGCCAGCATGATATCTAGCCTCTGTCAACTCACATCCTTGATGAGGAGTACAAGCTTACTTCATTAATGTATCTTAGTCTTCATCAGTCATCACTATCCTTTCACTGCTAGCAAATGCAGAAGGTAAACACCATCAATCTTCCTTACTCTGGGGTCTTTAATTTTCAGACATTGTAATATCATTTGGCCTGTCATTATACTAGAATGTACACTACACTACAAATGCCACCCCATGTCTTGTCTTGTTCTCACCAAAGAAAAGTTTGTTTAGGTAGCTTAATTTCAGGCATTCTCAAAAGATATCACCCAGACAGGATATCTTCCAGCAAATGTGTACTCATAGAAATAACTTTAAAAGGTTGCACACATTAAACCAGTGACCTTCTGCATTACTAGCATAAACAAAACAAACAATCAAAAAAATTTTCAAACTATTTTTAAGTCAAATGTTGGTGATGACAGTGTTCTGTTGCCATAGAAGGATTGCAGCCTCACAGATCTGGCTTTATTACTAAAACTTGCAAAAACACGTTATAAGAAGGCATTTATATATCCCCACACATGGATGAGTCAGTGTGCTCATGTCATGTGAGCACAAGGCAGGAACAAGGGTCCCCAGAGCTGCTAAACTCGCTTACTGTCTGACCTCGGGCAAGCATATGTAATCACTTGATTACAAGCACTCTTAAGCCTAAGCTACTCCTTTGTAGATTCACCACTAAAAAAATACATGATTCTGTCTGGGAAGGTCCCCTTTCTTTATTTTGGGAAGGTCTGTTAAACGGCAGGCCTGGAGATTGTTGATGACAGTGCCAGATGAATCATCAGCCATTGTTTCTGAGAACAGTTTGCAAACAGCTCTGAGGACAGTCCAGCTCAGGCTCTTCCTGTTCCCTGGAGGTAAAGTCAGGCTAGAACTTACCCTGGGAACACAATGTATTCTGGGTTCCTGTGAAACAACTGCCCCTACCCACAGCATGCTTCATGGGTGAAGAGGTTGTTTGTAAGACAGCTGGAGACCAGACAGCTAGAGAGCTTTGAAGTGCATTGGGAGCCGAGCAGGAAGCCCATGGAGCTCTGATGTGAGATGGTAGCTCCTATTTACTGCGTCACCTCTCTTACCCATAAAGCTGACTGTGTAGATAGAGTTAAACAAAACTGCAACAGATCATGTTTGGGAGCTTCAGTTAAAAAATGGATGATAACTCCCTAATACAACTATAAAATCATAAATCTTCTGAGTAAATAAATGTAAAAAGCTAGTTTTTCTCATTACTGTCTTCAGAAGTAGCCTGTCTCTGCAGGGCACAATGTGCTTCTAGTCAGCTTGACAGTACAGTCCAGCAGCCCTCAACAGAGATAGAAAGCGTAACCCTACTTCTTGACAGTAGTTAATAGTTTTTCTCCTTCTTGACTGAAATAACTGATCCCTGTGTTTATTTCAGACATCAGAAATACAAGGCAAATCACTATTTGCATCTTTTGTGAAAGTCAGATATGTAGAGCATAATCTCGCTTTTGAAGCCAAGAGTCTGTTGCTATTTCCCTGCAGATGGTCATGAAACAAGGAAAAAAGGCTAGATGCTTCAGACCTTGAGACATTAAGAGAGCCTTGGAGTCTTGAAGCCTTCTTTCTTGGAGAAAAATTGGATTAATTTGATACACAAGGAAGAATTAGGCAGGATTGAATTTACACATGAAAGAACTGAGATAGGGTTCAGCTAAAGCTCGTTTCAGTTACCTGCTCTGCCATACCTTCCAATATATAATTTGGGCATAGCCCTACAATGTACCTCAGTTCTTCATCAGCAAAAGAAAATAAAAGTCCTCTCGTAATCTAAGGAGCAGTCAGGTTCAGTAATGGGAAATTAAACATATCATCCATAATTTGTCAAGGTGGAATGAGCAAAGCCAACAACATTAAAGCATTTACTGTTACTAAACCTTGTATGTGGCTAAAGTCAACAGTATCGGTATAGATGTTCATATTCCGTAATGTTTATAAAAATCAGTGCCATCAAAACCCAAACCATGCATAGCATCATGTTTCTTTCCAGTTTCAACCACAGCAGGATGAAGATTAGGACATGAGTCCCTAGTAAGCTTGCTTACTGCAATTTTCTTGATAACGGTAACTGGACACAAAAAATTTGAGGTGGAATTACTACAGCTCAAGCCACTTCTTCTAATCTCATTTTATAGTGCATCCATACTAGCTCTCTGCATGTCAGAGAATGTGTTTTACAATCTTCATTTTTTTGTGTAGGTTTTTACTTGCTTGTTGCTTAATTACCTGTGAAAGTTACCGTGGCACTCAATCACACTGTTTCAAGACAGTAGAGTACAAACCAAGTAGACTGATTGATATTTTGGTTATTCAGCCTTATTTTCTCCACCGAAGCAAGACTATTTTGCATACACTTACTCATTGCAGCACAGCTGTGAAAGAGTATCTCATAGTGACAGGCAAGCAAGGCTGCTGCTCTGGTCCTACCCCCAGGAGGTTCATGGGAGAGACCATCCCAAAAGATTCAGTACAACCTGTGTGCCTGCCTTGCTGCTTCTCACTGCTTTCACTGCCAAAACCAAAGAATGGAGCTTTTTGTTTCAGAGCTAGTTAGTGTGTCCATGAGCTTATCCCTGGAGAATTGTGCAGCTGCAGAGTGATATGGCTAGAGATGGGGAAGAGAAGAGTTTAGCTTAGCCTTGCCGCCCTGGGCAAATTTGTTTATTAAAGCCAAACTAGAATTTGTACCTCTCATAAACCCACATTTTTTGTCTTTGCCAAACTAGAAAAATCACTTCCATCTCTCAGCAACAATTCCCTCACTTAAAATGCCATTGAGCATTCACTGTGTATTTACACTTTTTTGATTAGGATCACAGCATATTTTCTTAAAAGAAATAATATGTATAATGAAAAAAGAATTCTACTTTTTTTTTTGCACAAGTTGCAGCGGTATCTGAATGGATTATCCACGGTGTGGATCTCCAGGCCTCACTTTCCTCCATCACTCCTAGCCGCATCACCTCATCTGAACTGAGCACCGTTCATGCCCAGCCCCATTCTGCCTGCTTAAAGCTGCTTCTGCTCTCTACAGGAATTTGCTTACCAGCATCTCCAAGGTGAGCACACTAAATCTATGCTTACTGCTTAACTTATTTACCTTTTGTATAAGCCTTGGTTTTGTTTTATTTGGGTTATTCTACCATTGCCATTATGCTGCATAATTGAGAGCTTATTATTTTGTGAAACTGGCAGCTGTGAGAGCTGTTGATTTAATACCCCAGAGCCCGGATTCCTTAAGTTTATCTGCAGTGTGGCTGGTAAGAAGAATGCAAATTGCCCACAGGAGCAGCTCTCCATAACAGTTTGGAGTGAGGTCCCTGAAGCAGATAAAGGAAGTCACCCTCTCTGCCCACTCAGTTCGCAAAGCAGCGCTACAATCAGGTGTCATCTCATCCAGTAGGGGCCAAACTGGAGCAGTGTTCAAATGAACTAAAGAAGAAAAAGGCCATATAATTGGGTCACTTCTAGATAAGGAAAGAACAGAATATCCTGAGATGGCAAGTTATAACTAGATACACCAGGAAGTAACTGAGGCTGTCTTCTAATCAAGCTGCAGTTGTTCAGAAAGATCGAAGTGCACAAGGAGAACTGGGACTGCTAATGCCTCTGCAAAACCTGTTTTGTAAACTTCAAAGCTGTCAGTCTGGCACCTTCTAAGAGACTGCATTCATTGTATGATGGCACAATGAAAAAATTGACTCATGGGTGTGGTTGTATAATAGTGACAAATTTGAGACTAGAAGAATTCCTCACATCCCTTCACTAACGATCCCCAAATTTCTATGCAAAACAAAAATCATCTCCCTGTTTCAACAAA